AACGGCTGAAAATTCATACTCACCATGTCGAGACCGTAGTCAGTAAAGTGTAAAGAGTTTCGAGTGCATTATTGAGTAAATCCACGTTGCTCTGTTTGAGGGCGCTACACAATGCGGGAATGGCATTGTCTTGAAGAAGACTCAAAATTTGTTTCGAGTTACCGCCTTGTGCCAAATTTGCCACTGCCCATGACGCTTCGAATTGACATTTGAAGTCACCCTAACAAGAAAAATAGCTGATTTTTGGAAATCTCCGCATTTACCTGTCCTTTGAAAAGCTCACCGAGCGCAACACTTCAATAATGAATGGCATAATTCCAGCGTCAATAACGGCTTGAATTTGGGACTGAGTGCCAGCAATGATGTTCGACACAAGCCAGCAACACTCCTTCACCACTGTGGTCGACCTCGAGCGCTCAGACAGCGGAATGATCTCATCCAACGTCTTCAAATCCACGACACACTGAAAGTGAATAGCATTCATCGAAAGTAGTTTCCAATGGAACTCAATGATCATTGAGAGTTCATAAAGAGCGGACAAGACTGGACAATAGCTGAACGTTTACAAGGTAATCGATCGATTGAAGAATATTTCGAAATCACCTGCGTTAGCTCATCGTTTCCTGTGCTCATGTTACCGAGAACACGAAGAGCAGGCGCCACCATTGCATCAGAGTCACTAAGAAATTTGATGACATGAGGAAGTACACCTGGAAGCAACGTTCATCTCAGATCCATGCCGGACGATCCGAATCGGTTTAACTGATATGCGCGGTAACGCTGATGGTCGTCCATGAGAAACATGGCAACATTAGATGGAAATGGACCCGCACTCTCTGACATTCGCCGACATGAAGTATGTGTAGTCAGTAATACAATACCCGACAAGGGTGAAGTGGGGTTCCGATTTAGGTCTCAAGCAAAATCTTTCAAACACAACCCAGTACCCTTTCTAGCTTTCGTGTCGCGAACAGCAGTAAAAAAATTGACACAAAGAAAAAACAAATGAAAGGGTTTGTTTTGAGAAGCACAGCAAACACCCATATGGAGTACCTAACCGTTCCCAACCCCTCTTTGAGCACCCACCTTTTTTGAGCATCTGGGACCAGCTACAGCAGTTACCGACTGGAGATTGGTCCCCAAGATCTACACCTCTGGTTGCATTTCTATTTGTAGCTACGGAATTCTACCTTTATTCAAGAAAACGTTTTTCACTAACCACTTGTCTTCGCGAGAGCAATTTGCTCGTCTGGACCGTCGGTTAGGTACGAGATGGCCCAGCAGGCATCCTGTCGCACTTGCTTATCCTAAAAGATAGACTGTCAGCTCGATGAAACAACGCACTATACAAAACATAGCTCGTTTTCTATGATGGTGACTTTGATAGATGAGATTACCTCATGGGCAACTATTTTCGCGAGTCCTTTGCTCAGTACTGACAACACCGCCAGCGGGGCATGAGGGTTCTTATGCCGACACATGTTGGAAAACGCCCACGCAAGAGTGCGAGCACAACTGACTTCCAAAGAATCGAGGCGCTCCACAAGGCTCATCAACGCTTCCACACCTTTGCAGTCTGTAAACAAGTTATACTTTGGGTAGAAATGAAAACATTCGCATGAAAAGAAAAAATAACAACTACTGGTGCCAAAAGAGTTGGGGGAGGGAGATGATCCGCTTGTCTACGGGCTTTTAACGGGAAAGTGTAATTCACGCGTTACAGCTTTTCACATAACTCAAGTGACGCTGACTATTCCATCTCAAGTCCGTGAAGAGAATGAGAACGCCTAAAAATATTTGACATCCGCCACCTTTCTTTTTGCAGGGAATCTACAAAATCAGTTCGGAGTGGAACAAAAGATTGAAGGTCTCTAGAAGACCTTCTCGCTGCACAAGAGCAACAGAGGACAATTTTATCCAATCCCCGTCCATACGTTCTAACCTTTTACGAAAGGGTATTATCCCAGCCGCACAGCGGAATTTTAGTGGAAGTTCTGCAATAGGGGGAGGGGGTACACGGGACGATCAGCTCTCCCCTCCTGATGATAGAACTGAGAGCTTGCCTATGACGTGATCCCTGAGCTGAGCCGAATCTCCAGCAATATTGGCAACAGCCCACAGAGCCTGCTCAGCTAAAGCAGGATTTGGGCTCTGAGTAAGCTGGACTAGAGGAGGAGTGGCCCCGGCTTCTACGGCGGCCACAGTTTGTTCTGATGTACCCGAGACGATATTGGTCAACGCCCACGCGGCTTCGAATCGAACCTTGTCGTCCTGAAAGTCAACAAATAGCATATCGAAAAAACAAACGAAAATATTATTTGAGGCTTTACCTCAACACTAAGTGCCTGCACCAAAGCGTTCACTAGGCCACAGCTGATCACTTCATCAACCGGTGGATTCTTTGAACGGGACAATGTGCGACGAAGTGCCTCGAAACAAGTTCGCATCTGTTCCAGGGTGGGATTGTCGCAAAGGATCTTGATGATTTCCTCATTGGAAAGTTTGTTAGCCGATGCTAGAAGAGTAAAGATGATCAGTCTCAGAATAAGAAGGGCAACCAAAACGGTCATCTAACCAGGCATCGTTTTCACATCCAAATCTGAGAGCTCCCCTTCTTCGTCTTCATCCTCGACCAACTGATTTCGACGTTTCATCAGCAACTCGGTGCCCTTCTGTTTGCGAATCTCCACACTGGTTTCGTTTCTGCGGCGTCGCATATCCTCGTGCCTTGCGACATTTTTGTACTGCTTGATGCGACGCCGCAGAAACGAAACCAGTGTGGAGATTCGCAAACAGAAGGGCACCGAGTTGCTGATGAAACGTCGAAATCAGTTGGTCGAGGATGAAGACGAAGAAGGGGAGCTCTCAGATTTGGATGTGAAAACGATGCCTGGTTAGATGACCGTTTTGATTGCCCTTCCTACTCCGAGACTGATAATCTTTGTTCTTCTAGCATCGGCTAATAAGCTCTCCAATG